GGCCCCTGCCGCCGCCCACGGGGCGATCGGACTGGCGATCTTGGCTCCGGCCACGGTCGCCGCTCTTATCCTTTCCACCCCCTTTCTCCGTGCCCTTCTCTTTCTTCTTCCTCTTCCCACCGCTCTTTCGGCCGTCTCTGCCCGACTGGGCAGGTGCAGCTTGGGCCGGGGCGGCGGAGTCTCCACTCCCCTTTGGGCGCTGGCATTCACGCTGCGCTCGGGTGCATGGGCATATGCCATTGAGGAACTTGTTGCGCGGTGCCGATTTCTTGAGGCGGCCGTCCTTCATGCGCAGATTTTGGCTGCCTTTGCCAGTCCTTTCTCCTCCTCCTTCGCCATTGCCGCCTCTCGCAAGAAGACCTCGGGAGTTCCGCGTCCTCCGCTGCTTCTCTCAATAGTATGCCCTCTTTCAATGCGCGTGAATTCACTCGCCCTCGATGACAGCCATTCGTAAGTCTTCATGCCAGTGCCATACTCATCGCTGCAATGATCATTGCGTACAAGGATGAACTGCATGCCAGGGCATCTCTGCATTTGGCGGTAGCAATATGCCTGCATGGCGGGGCGAAAAGACTTGCCCGCACCGCTGATTTTAATCTCCATGAGATCCGCGCACGTGCACGCCTGTCCATGATCCTGCTGGGTAGTCACGCGCACGGCGCTGATGCACAAAATCTCACGACCCTTCATCACGCTTCTGGCGGTCTGCGAGGCGGTATCTAACCGTTCGAATTCGCCCGCAAGATGGCGTAATTGTGAATTGTGACGATGACTGTCGGTCCTTGACGATCTTGTTGAGCTTCGACCTGAGGTTAGCTGCGATGACCAGGTCAGGCCGGATGAAAACACCCGAGCCCCTCAGACCCTTCGCATCAACACTCTTCATGCCCCCCCCAACAAAAAAACGATATCCAGATACCGGCCCCCTCGCAACTCGGCGAGGCCGAAGCCGCCGCCCTGGCGACATTGCGCCACCACCGCTGGTAGTTGGCAGCGTCGGGAATCTCTGCCAAGACGATCTTCTCCGCGCAACCTGCGTCGCCCCAATGCGGGATAGAGGCCAGGGCAACATCCGGCGACGGGAACGGGAGGGGCATTGCCGCCCCCGCCGCCGCCGCCTGGCGAGCCTCCTCCAGGCGGCCCTCCGCCACGCCAGCGCCAGCGATCTGGATTGTTTTCCCCGTCTCCATCAGGCGATGTATGTCCGTCGTCTTCAAGGAAGAAATCGTCGTGACCCTCGCCGTCGCCATCGTCGTCATCTTCGCCGCCATCGCCAGGGGGGCCCGTGCCCAGGTGTCTAGGCACTGGCGCCTTCTGCGGGGGCGTCGACTCATCCCCCGCATCCTCCTTCTTGAAGATGCTCGGCAAGCTCCCCGGCGCTGGAGGGCGCGCCCAGGGAAGGAGGTAGCTGCGCTGGCGCGGGCTGCCGCCGATTCTGTAATTCCCGCGGTGGCAGCCGCTTCAGCCCTTTCCTCGCGCTTCTCCTGGGCCCCTACCCTGCGTTCAGCGCGCATCCTGGCATTCTTCTCTTCGCGCTGCATCGCCTGCTCGAGTTCCTCCTTGATTTTCTTGCGTCCGGCACTCGCGGCTTCCTCAAACTCAGGAAGCTTCTTCGACTCGACGCTCTCAGCCCGAAGAGCATCGCTTCCCGGGGCGCAGCCGCGGGCGTGAACGGGCCAAAGCGAGCGGCCGCGAGAGGGCGGCCTCGGCGTAGACGCAGCGGCGCTGTGCCCCTGAAGTTTCCTCTTGGCCCGACGTTCCTCGCTCACTTTCGCGCGGGGCCTTCCCTCGTCCTCGTTCTTCTTTGCTGCCGACCACTGTCCGCAGCAGCGCGCGCATCTTGCCCCCGTTCTACAGAATGGTTGTCACATGTGCCTTTGTTGCAGATTGGGCAGTCGCGATCAACGCTTCGCAACGCAGAGAACGCCGCGGAGCTCGCGCATGGGGAATATGACTTGAGTTCCCACGCGCGGCTTGTCGCCCAACCGCGGTCGGCGCCTGCGACCGCGCAGTGGATGCTGCCGCTGTGCTCGCCTGGGCTGTAGACCCAGAGCCCCGAGTCATCGCCCGAGACGCCCCTTCCGGATGCCACTGAATCTGGTGCCAGTCAAAATTGCGATACAAACTGTCGCGCTCCGCTCCCCGTTTTATCATCGCCCGGGCAGCTTCCATCTCCGCCGCGCGAGTCTGCGCCGTGACTCTCTCCTCAGCAATCACCTCAACTCGCCCCATTTCCTGGTGAGCGCGTAGCATCTCGGCCTCGGATCGAGCATAGTCCCCATCTGCAACGAGTCGGTTCGCCTCGGCCTGCTGTATGGCAGCGGCAGCCTCCGCTGCCAGTCGCGCATTCCGATCCTCTGCTGCTTGCAACTCCTTGGCGGCCTGTGTCATCGTCGCCCGCCGAACTTCGCCGCCCCAGTGGACGGCGCGCCCCGCTTCTTCTTCTTCTAGATGCTTCCCCTGGGGATGCGCCTGGCGCTCGGAGGCGCCACTATATTCGAGCCTATTGGCGAGCCCCCTCATTTCCTTTCTCGCGGCGCAGGCCTGTCGGGCCGCCGCCGCCGCCTGTTGGCGCCCTTCCAGGGAGCGCGCGGCATTCGCCATGGCCCCCCGGTCTCGCTCCACTTGAAGGGCAGCAGCCGCATGTTGTTGAAGTTCCGATTGCCTCAGCTGCTCGCGCATTTCGGCCGGGTCACTTCCCCTGACCTCCATGATCTCAAATCTCTCCCTTTCCTCAGCTTCGCACCGCTCATTGACGCACGTCGCGGCGCAAATATGCAAGCCGGGAGCCGCGCGCGTCGGGCGCGGGAAGTCTGCGTTGCAGAGGCTGCAGATATCGGAACACCCGAGAAAGACAAGCTTCTTACACTGACCCCATCGGCCGGGGCACCGCGACTCTAGCACCACATCGCGTCTTGGTCCATAATTGGCACACTTGGCACTGATCCGCATGATGAAGGTATTCGATCTTCCTGATAAGTTGGGCAAGTCAGGTACCTCGGATCCCCGTCTCAGGGCCCTGGGCCCGCCTCCCTCGGTGTTGCTCCTGCGGGGAGAGCGGGCGCGCAAGGGATTATAACGTCGAAGGTCTCCTTGGGGGCCCGGGGGCGTAGCTCCCGGGTGTTCCCCGGGAGCGGACACGGGGTGCTGCTCCTGGATATCGCCAGAAGTACTTCGTTTCCCGAGAGGCGAGGTAATCAAAAGGCTAATCGGCTCACGTCTCTGCTTGCTCACCACCCGTACGGAGCCGTCTACGAAGTCCTCATCCGTGATATCCTCCAGGTGCCGCTGCAGAGAGCAATCATATGGAATCGCGGTATCTTCGCCAGGCATGGATGGGCGCGGCGGCGCCTGCCCGTGGGGGCGTTGTAGGTCACCCGACGGAACAGGACACGTTCGGCCACGGACCTCGTACTCCTCGTCGTACGGTTCCTGATCCTCCTGGAAACCAATCAGCTTGAGCGTTGATCTGGGTGTCCCTCCGATGAAATGGTCCCCACGACGTGGTCGTCACTCGAACGGGTGCTCGGAAGCGTCCGCTTGATCGTCGAGCGGAATGAGGTCCACTTCATCGTTTCCGTCTCGGCCTTATCGAGTGGTGGCCTTGACCCCCGGCTTCGGAGAGGCAGGACGAGGCTCATCAGCGCACGAGAAGTTCCAATATATTTTGGTGGGAGGACGTTGGCTCGATCCCACGACATCGTCAGCGGAACCGTCTTCGGGAACATCTACACTCGTCTCATGGTGTAATCTGTCTTCGGGGTGTACATCATCCCTAGATGGGAGGAGCATCGTTCCCTCATCTGGTATGCCCACGTTGGTCGAAGACAGAACTTTCGGTTGATAACCACTACCTTACCATTTCTTTATTGCTATGGGTTTATCCTTGACCGTGTTGAACGACAACATGTGATCACGTTCGTGTTGTAATCCTTTCTCAGCGTCTTCTTCTTGTAGGAACCTCTTAGTCAGGGTTGCTTTCAACGTAGGTGATGTGGGTGATGCGTCCCTCCGTGACATGGCGAAACGAATCTGGTAGGGTGTCCGTTAACCTTCGGGCGAACTACAAACTGCTAAGCAGGAGGGCCGGCCAGCCGAGGGACGGGCGGGCGCACGCGCTTTACTCTTGAACCAACTCACAGCAGCTGAGACGACGCTGCGAGTCAGAAGTGGGCCCGGGGGGATGACTAAATCGACTGAAAGGCTATGGGGCCCCCGTCGGCGAGGAATGGGCACTTGGAGGTCGATGCGTCCCCCCCCTCCCCAATTAAGCCCTAAGCCTATCCTCCCCTAGCGTTGCCCCTGAGATGTCCAGCATCTGGTTGCTGTTCACGGACAGAGGAAGAAACAACGGCATGTACATACATTCGGAGATCCGCGCGGATCCCTGGGATCGGCCGCGAGGCCCCCCCCCCCCTTCCCTGGCGCGCGGAGCGCGCGGCCATTGGGGACCCGGCGCTGATCCGAGAAGTCTGCGTGGAGCTCCGAACAATTTGGTTGACAGGCGATCGACATTGTATCGATTGCCCTGTTCATGTCCCGACACCCACGAGGGGCCAGAGCGGGGATATGGATAAATCTCTGGCCTCCGAGGCCACGCCCTGCTGCACCTGGCGCCCAGATTGAGGGGCAGCAGCAGGTTTATGCATCAAACGTCGAACGTCGGGGGAGACGAGCCTGGATGGTGGCGCTCGTGGTCATCTTACGGCCACCTGGGGAGCCTGAACCTTCCCACCATGGCCGAGATCGGGAACATCTTCCCCTGGTGGAGGCACTCCGCTGATGTTGGTGTGGGTGCCAGCCGCCGGGCCCCCGATTGCAGAGCGGGCGCGACCGCAGGAAACCCTCGCACGAAACCCAACCCTGAAGACCCGGCGCCCCCGGAACGCGGCCGCTCCTTCAGCGGCCGCGGGAAGCCACCGCGCAGCGCGCGGGGCGAAGACACCGAGGATGCCCTGACGAGAAGCATGCGGCTTGCATGTCGATGCCGAGCTTCCTTCCTCGGATGGACGCGACCAGCTTGCCCAGCAGCGCCACGAAGGCGCCGCAGCCGAGCGCCTGGCCCCCGACGCTCTTCGGGCCCGCCGCGCAGGCCGCCTCGATCCGCGCCCGCAGCGCCTCGACGCCGCTGCGGAACTCCTCGCGCAGGCCGCGGTACGGCACCCTCTCCAGCTGCTGCAGCTGGCTCTCCTCCAGGGGCATCCCCACATCAGCGACGAGAAGCAACGCTGCTCGAACGACGTTGGCCAGCGAAAGTCGCCAAGGATTGCTCAGAAGGGGCAAGGATGCCAGGGCACCCTTGGGACAGTTGCCCCTCCTTGCTATCCGGGCTAAGTCAAATCACCTGACTTCGCGCCACGCGCCACGCGATGAGCGATCCGCGCGGCTCTCTTCGCACCCTCGCCGCCTCCCCCTGGAGAATGGCGCCTCTCTGGTCCACGCCGCGGCGCGCGAAGCGCGATCCTCTCCGCGCCTCCGCCCAGAGGAAGGGGCCCTACGCACGTTGTCGTAGCCACCTCACGCGGTGGTTTGGGCGGGCCGCCAGCGCGGCGTGCCGCGCTGGAAACGAGGGCGCTTGCGCGCGGCCTTACGCGGGACGCTGACGATCCAGTGTCCCCGCAGACGACCCCGTTCTTCTGTGTCGCTCGAGTGGGGTGCAGATGGGGTCGGAGGGCCGTGCCACATCGCCGCTGAATCGCCGATGCATCAGCGACGTCGGCGACGCATCGGCGCCGTCGGCGCAGAGAAGATCGGGCTCCACACCAGGCCGCATCGCTGATGCATCGGCGATGCGGCGCGACCCTCCCACCCAATCTACTCGGACCCCACCTGGGAGGCCTAGATCCTCGTGGGCCGGCCTAACCAATACCGAACACGTCCGCGAGTCGAAGAAGCGCAACAAGCTATCCTTAGGGAAGCCCCAAACAACTGCATGCACATGACATTTCTGACCCCCGCGCGGATTTCTTGGGTCGGCGCCGGAGGCGCCGCCAGGGGGGTCCAGCGCCGACGCAGGAAATCCGCGCGGAGCTCGAATATGTATGGCTTTGTTCCCCAGTTGTGTTTTGCTGCTGATGCTGCCATTGCTTCTCATGTGGGTGCTATGTTCGACGTTGGGGTACTTATTTATCGCTTCTAAGCTATCTTGATCAGTGATGGGGACATCTGGATAAACTCGTTCTTTAATATGTCTGCCTCCCTCTCGGCGGGTGGCGCATCAGAACCATCTCCGCCACCGCCATGGGAGAGACCTGCCCAAATTCCCTCACTGGCCTGGGCGGGAGGGCGTACACAAGGCTGAGTAGCGCCACGGGAGGAGGAGGAGGAGGAGGAGGAGGAGGAGGAGGAGGTGAGGGAGAAGGCAGAGGAGGAAGGGGGAGGGGATGCCAGCTGCTGCTTATGAGCGCCGGCCTCTCATCGCGGCTGTCCTTCACCTCCTTCGCGCCCTGGGCGCGATCGTCGTCCACCTCTGCGGCGGAGCACGAGGTCAGGGCCTGCTCCAGGTAGGCGTCGGGGGAGATGCTGCGCCCGTCCGGGCTGGTGAGGTCAAGCATGAAATCCCGCAAGACCCACATCAGCGCTGGGCGGCTCACCTTGGGGCGAGGAGATCGAAACCCAGAGATCCGAAGCTCCGAACAACTGGAGCGGCAGATGTTGCATTGTTCGACCTCGAGGGACCCTCAATAGGCTCCGTGACCGTCAACAGCAACTCAGGATGAAAAGGCGGCCCTAGGGGGATCGCCCAGAACGGGTGGGAGTGCTAGGAACATTGGCATCTGGACCCGTTCCAGAATGATCGAGCTTAGCGCCGTCGTGGGCCGTGTCGGGGGTCTCCTGGACCATGGCAAGGCCAAATGCGGTCACCACGGATCCGGTGGGGGGTCCGCTCCTGGGCCCAAGGTGAAACCGGCCAGTGGCGGTGGATCTCGTCGCCCTATCACCTCGTTGCCCCTCTCCTCGATGTAGGAAGAAGGAACAACTACATACACATACGATCTTGGAGCTGCGAGCGGAGTTTTTGGGGTCGGCGCGGTTGATCTCTGGTGGCGCTTCTGGCGCCGCCCTGGCGTGCTCCTGCGCGCCTACCAGGGAGCCCCGCGCCAACCCAAGAAATCCGCGCGGAGCTCCGAAAATGTATGCTTATGCCGATGTTGTTTCTTCGAAGATATGCTCCGCGAAGCGGCACGTGAGGGCCAAGGAGTTGAAGACCCCTTCGTTCAGGGCGCCCTTGGTTAGATGCTCGTTCTGTGGACCTCCCTTGAACCACTCGCTCCATTAATGCGGCGATGCTGTGTGGAACATCCGTCGGCTTGAATACAACTTGAGTGGATCTAGAGTCGAACAGATCCGTCGGGTGAGCTCCAGAAAGGTCCCCAGCACAAACGTCTAACCTTGGTGTTCAGGACCAGCACGGACGAGATCAGCGCGCACAGGGTCATGAGCTGCGCGTCGCGGCTGCGGTCGCTGTCGGTGCTGCCGAATCCCTCGCAGTCGACGAAGGCCAGCAGCGGCGCCTCCAGGTCGTCCTCGTCCGCCGCGCCCCACAGCCACAGCCCCTCGGTGCAGGCGTTGGTGGTGCTGCCCACCTGGAAGAGCGGAAGGCCTGGGGAGGCCCACAAAGACGGACGTGCGCCCGCCCCCCTCGCGGGCGGCGGCGGACACATCCGTCGCCGCGCCCTCGCCGTCTGGGCTCCGGGGCGCGATCCCGCGGATGCGCGGTCGTGAGGGTACGTTCCGCGCGGGGCATCCGCGAAGAGAGCGCCCCGCAACCGCCGAATCGCGGCGCAGGGGCCGCTCCGCCCACGACTTCCCGGACCCCTGCAACGACGCGTCCTGGCCAGGGTTTCGACACGATGCCAGCTGTGGCGACGAGAGCCTCCCAGGAGGCCCAAACAGGCGAAAACGAGGGAAGGGCAGTGGTATCAGTACCTATTCCTCCTCGGGGAGGCCCTGCTGCACGCGGCCGAGCAGCAAGTTCAGCAGGTAGCTCTTGCCAGTGCGGTAGAGGCCGCACACGGACGCCACCGCGATGCGTCGGCCCCCGTGGCTCTCGAGCACCCGGGCGCCGTCCTGCAGAAAACGAGAAAGCGGCAAACGTATAAACTTTCGACGGTCCGCTCGGATTTCCTGGATTGATCGGCGCGGGCGGCGGCGAAGGCGCCGCCACGGGGGCCCAAATTCAGATCAGAACAATCCGCCCGGGGCTCTGGAATTTTATGCTTATACACTGTTACCCAACCATCCTTTGGTGTTGGGTCCTCGCTTAACGCCCCGCGTCACGCCTCACATCTTCCATCCTCTCTTTTCCAAACTCCACCACTCCGCACGACCAGTCCGGCACACCCCTCACACGCTTCGTGACCCCAGAAGGAATTCCTACCAAGGCCGCAGTGGCAGGGTTCGCATGCGTCCCCCCGCACCAGTGCGGGACACCCATCACACGGTTCGTGGCCCCACAGGGAGCTACTACGAATGTCTCGGTGGCAGGGTTCGCATGCGTCCGTCCGCCCCGTTTCGGCACACCCTTCACACGCTCCATGGCCACGGTAGGCCCAACCAAATACTACGCCTTAGGCGCAGTATCCGACTAATCCTTTTGTACCGCAGTAGCGATGGGACAACAGATAGGAGATGGCCGCGTGAGCGGCAAGATGACATTTCAAGGGGTCGTTTTTCGTATCGATGTCTAGTCGCGTGTCGCGGCGCGACGCGGTCATATAGGCGGCCGGGCGCCAGAGTCCAAACGGCCGCGGGCGAACGCTCGTTAACTCTCGCTTTTGCCCTCCTCCCTCAGTCGGGGGGGAGGACGACGCGCGAGTCCGCGTCCGGCCTGATTCGACAAAACAGTTACTCCACAAGAAAGCAGCAGCCAGCGGGCTCAAACCTCAACAAATTCACCCCGCAACTTATTGCTCCTCGGGCGGCTCAGATGTTCTCGTCGGGCCGGCCCTGAATGGACGAAGTCGCTGTAAGTGATGATCGAAAGATGGCATGCCGTCAAAAACCTGTGAGAACATATCTCGGTCAATGCCCCCCGTGGTGTGACCGTCTGCGGTCATGTCACGGGTATCACACCACTGCGCGCCATGCACGAGACAGCACTCGATGATTTGCCGTATCCAATTGATGTAGCCCACGAGGGTGCACTGAGTCGGCTTCTTCAGGTATCTGCTTAACAAGAACTTGAAGGCAGATTCCGCATCAATGGCGAAGGTGACTTCAATGCTGAGGCCGCACATCTCAATAATAATATTCGGCTCAGTGGGTGTCAGCGGCCCTGCGTGGAGTTCGTGTAGCGTAACGATCGTGGGGTAGCTGTCCTCCAAGTTATGGACTGCTGCTAGCGCTTCAGCCGAATAGCTAGAGCGGACCTACAAGCGGTGACACTTGCAGGACGCGTCGACAAGATGGACGACAGGTTTACAAGCATGCGTGCGCCCGCGCCCTAGCAAGTTTGCCCAGCGAGTACCATTGCCATTGACCTCGTCAACGACATCGCCGTTTAACCGGCCATAGCCGGAGTCGCTGTGCAGGTCTGCCTCGCCCGTGGGTATCACCGTTTCATAAGCGATCTTCTTTGGGCGGGCCTGTGACTTCCTGGTCATCGCGCCGAGTCGTCGCGCTTGCATATTGGTAGGTTCCTGGGCGCGCTGCAATGATGCAGAATGCGCCAATCGCCGTGCTTGCGTGATGAGGGCGTAAGCCAGAGCGCCTCTGTGGCTGACAAACATACGAGCGACCATCTTCGACGCCTTAGCCTCGGCATCTGCGCCTGTGAGTTCGCTGTGCTGGATACGACGGACTTGTTTTACCTAACAGCGAAGACAAATAGGTTTCTAATAGGGTCAAAAGAAAGCATCATGACTCCCCAAGGGGATCTGGGCGGGATCCGGGGGAGGATGCCGGGTATTTTTTTTTAGCCAACAGTTACACACTTCGTGGTCTTCGAGGTCCCAGAACTCCATTTCCGGGCCACATTCTGAATGCCCGGAGCCAACTGTAGGCCACTTCGTGCTCTTCGAGTTCCCAGAACTCCATTCCCGGGCCACATTTTGAATGCCCGGAGCCAACTGTAGGCCACTTCGTGCTCTTCGAGTTCCCAGAACTCCATTCCCGGGCCACATTTTGAATGCCCGGAGCCAACTGTAGGCCACTTCGTGGTCTTCGAGTTCCCAGAACTCCATTCCTGGGCATGATTTTCAATGCCCTGAGCCAACTGTAGGCCACTTCGTGTTTTTCGAGTTCCCAGAACTCCATTCACGGGCCACATGTTGAATGCTGAGGCAGGCTGATGCTGAGGCTGAGGCAGGCTGAGGCTGAGGCAGGCTGAGGCTGAGGCCGAGGCTGAAGGCAGACTGAGGCTGAGGCTGAAGCAGGCTGAGGCTGAGGCTGAGCAGGCTGAGGCTGAGGCTGAGGCAGGCTGATGCTGAGGCAGGCTGAGGCTGAGGCTGAGGCTGATGCAGGCTGAGGCTGAGGCACGCTGAGGATGAGGCCGAGGCTGAAGGCGGACTGAGGCTGAGGCTAAAGCAGGCTGAGGCTGAGGCTGAGGCAGGCTCAGGCTGAGGCTGAGGCTGCAGGCTGAGGCTGAGGCAGGCTGAGGCTGAGGCTGAGGCTGAGGCAGGCTCAGGCTGAGGCAGGCTGAGGCTGAGGCCGAGGCTGCAGGCAGGCTGAGGCTGAGGCTGAAGCAGGCTGAGGCTGAGGCTGAGGCAGGCTGAGGCTGAGGCTGAGGCAGGCTGATGCTGAGGCAGGCTGAGGCTGAGGCTGAGGCTGATGCAGGCTGAGGCTGAGGCAGGCTGAGGCTGAGGCCGAGGCTGAAGGCAGACTGAGGCTGAGGCTGAAGCAGGCTGAGGCTGAGGCTGAGGCAGGCTGAGGCTGAGGCTGAGGCAGGCTGATGCTGAGGCAGGCTGAGGCTGAGGCTGAGGCTGATGCAGGCTGAGGCTGAGGCAGGCTGAGGCTGAGGCCGAGGCTGAAGGCAGACTGAGGCTGAGGCTGCTGAGGCTGAGGCTGAGGCAGGCTGAGGCTGAGGCTGAGGCAGGCTGAGGCTGAGGCTGAGGCTGATGCAGGCTGAGGCTGAGGCAGGCTGAGGCTGAGGCCGAGGCTGAGGCAGACTGAGGCTGAGGCTGAGAGGCTGAGGCTGAGGCTGAGGCTGCAGGCTGAGGCTGAGGCTGAGGCAGGCTGATGCTGAGGCAGGCTGAGGCTGAGGCTGAGGCTGAGGCTGAGGCTGAGGCAGGCTGAGGCTGAGGCTGCTGAGGCTGAGGCTGAAGCAGGCTGAGGCTGAGGCTGCAGGCTGAGGCTGAGGCGAGGCTGAAGGCTGAGGCTGAGGCTGATGCAGGCTGAGGCTGAGGCCGAGGCTGAAGGGCTGAGGCTGAAGCAGGCTGAGGCTGAGGCTGAGGCAGGCTGAGGCTGAGGCAGGCTGAGGCTGAGGCTGAGGCAGGCTGAGGCTGAGGCTGTGACTGCGACTGCCGTTGCCACTGCGACTGCCATCGCGAATGCGACTACGACTGCGAAAACAACAGAATTCTACAACAGGGTTCTCATTTGAATTTTAAGGGGGATGCTTCCACAAATGCTCCTACACATCGCTGTTAGGTTGCTCTGCCGGGATAATTTTATATGTTCGTCGTGTTCAAGAACAGAATATATAATCACCATTAGCATACCTCACAACACAATTGGTCTATGTATGCGCGTTGACTTCACATGTCCAAAATGAATATCCAACATACTTGACGCATGTGTCCATGGCGTCCCCCGTACCGGCCACGTTTATGTCAACACGCTCGGCGGTGAGGAGGTTGGTGCTCGTCTTGAACACCTCGTCATAAGACGTGGGTCTGAGTCCACGGCCTCTCGAGGTCTTCCTGGGATTCAATGGGGAGGCTCTCGGCGCATCGTTGGTGCCTGCGCCTGGTTTGAAGCACTGTCGACAGTGTCCTGACTCGTCATAATGCTCGAACGAATCCTGGGGGCGAGCTGAGTGTAGATGCTGACACAGGTGGCATGGTTGCTTCAGCGAGCGCTTGATCTGCGGGCCCCTTCCAATAATGTTGATGCCAAGGGAAGCAATGATCCACTGCTTCCCGCGCGCTGCCGCGCTGGCGAGCAATCGCCGGCTTGACCGCCGCGCTGTTCCTGAGAACGTTTCTATGTCAAAGGCTTCGGGGTCCATGAAAACCCAAACTGCCAGGCGCAAAGCGCAACCTGATGGTGCGCTCCATCCCGCCCTGGTCGTCACGGGTAATTTTCCAAGTGTCTACGTGCCTCGAAGTCACGATGTTTGACGCTTTGGATATGTCTTGTGAACTGAAGCGCTTGCTGGCAAACCATGTCTTGAGTTCGGCATATAGGGCCTCTGATTCCATGACTGGATTCGCGCGGGTATCTGCCTTCGTGAAAAGGTCGTCATTCTTCGCGACCGCAGCTCGTTCAGCTGCGGCGGTCCCACATACTCACATCGTGGCAACGCAGTCGACGTCCAATATCCGATGGTGTTGTTCGTGTAGGGCTACCTCCGACATTTCCGCCGTAAAACAAAGTTCCACAGACTGTCCGTGTTCGTCGGAGTCTAATCCACAACTGCCATCGTCGCCCGCGGAGCACAGCGGGACATGATATGTTTCGGTTGCGCTGGCACTCTGCGGGTTACCCCGCGCAGGCAAGCGCCCTTGCTGTTCGTCAGCAACTGTGTCTAGTGCGCTCTTGTCAGAGATCAAATGTGCGGGCACAGGAAATACTTATCCGACTGGAGCTGCTTCCAGCAATCCCCTTTCGTCTTGTAGTTCTGTATACCACACCTCCATAATGTGTGCCTGGAGGTCCGCAACTGATTCTTCATAGTCTGTGGAGGCCGGCCATCCTCCTGTGGTGGTTCGGTTTCTGGGGCCTCCCGGGCATTGCTGCCTTGTGTCGGCGTGTCTGCCAGTTCTTCGAATTCTGTCATGTCTTGATCGAAGCCCGCGTGTTTCTTGGACTTCAGGAATCGGGTGATTCTCGAGTGTGCCGATCCGGTGATATCTTAGATGTTTAGGCCAGCGCCTTCAGCTTCGCAAATGTGGCAGCCTAGTTTCACG